ATATTTGGGACACAAACTCTATCATGACCTCTCATGGTACCATTTCCATAAATCCGCAAATCAACTCTTCGAATTTCATTCATCTGATTCCACCAATCTACCAACTCAAACCAGAGTTCTGACCTTATCGAATCTCATCAAGAATACCAATAGTAAGGTCCAATATACTAAGCTTAACTCCATAAGGAGTCTCTTCACAATCCAAACTCATATCACCAAATTGCTCAATCAGTTCTAACTCTTTTCACCATCATCATCGTTATATGCAAGGATTTCCAAATCAATGCATAAGCTACCACGTTTGCTTCACCCGAATGGTAATTCAATCCAAAACCATAATCCTTCAGGAGTCCCAATTATTTTCTCTACCTCAAATTCAACTCTTCCAAATCAAGCAACTACCTTAAGCTCTTGAGATCACCAAACATTTAAAATCTCAAACTAACCAATTGAAGCCTCCAACTTCGGCACAAACACAACAACAACCAACTCTAAATCACGCGTCAGATAATCCCTCTTATGTACTTTAAATTGCCTTAAAGCATAACTAAAACTCGCTGATGATACACTCAACATATCTCTCAATCACATCAATAAAACATCACAAAATACAAAGAATAGTTCTGTCGGATTCGGCAAAAATCAACACGCGAGCTGTTGACAGCTCTCCCAAAACTCTCTGAACTTTCTTCACAGTGGCATATCTCTGCTTCTTCTCCAACACTGATAACTCAAGTTCCCGATGCTCAACATGATCCTCTATACTCTTTGAATATATTAAAATATCATCGGTTAACATGACCACTGACTCGCTCAATTAAGTATAAAAAAATCTCATGCCAAACGGACACTCAATTTGCGAGTTATGGCGGGAACACGAACCACACTTTCTACACTTACTACAAAATCCAAACATATTCCATCAATAAATAACTTAATTCCATGCCACTACTTCACTATCATATAGAGCATTGGACTAACTTTCCAACGCTTCGAACCGTGCGTCATTCCGAGTTACGGTTCTCCCGTTACGACAAAAATACCAAAACAACATTCTTCTGCCCAAGACATATTCGCTAGGCGAACACAGAAGCGAACCTGACAGTCCAAAATTCTATTTTCGACCGTTGAATGACTTCCGTATCTCCGATTTCGATTCCGTAAAAAGCTGCAACCTCGGAATTCAACGTACAACATCAATTTCACACTTAGGAAGCCATCCAACACATTTTCAACTTCGAAATATTTTAAACTTCAAGTACACCAATATAGCATTCCACGCCTGACCTCTTCTCACAATCACCGGAAATCATTGTCCACCATGTACTCGACCTCACCATCTGTTGCCTTAGCACACACACCAGACACAAGTCTCAATACTACTCAATCAATTTAATCCCTCGACCATTCAAACAGACATATAATATAGAGCTTTCAATATCAGACTAGTTTCCGTAACATAGCCAATCACAACTCCACTTCACATTCCGGTGGTAAATCACTTATCTCATCAGGAAAAACTTCGGACAATAACAATTAATTGGAAAACCACCAACTTCCCCACTTTCATTAACACTCAAAGTTTCCATCAAAATAAACATCTCATTACCTTCTCGCACCGACTCATCAAAGTAATTCTTAAGCACTTAGCTTAACTCAAAACAAATCACTGCCCATGCCATTCAAGCTTGCAAGACACGTCTATCCCATCCAACATAATCCCAACCACTATCAACAACAGATTAAGGCTGATTAGTTCCTCAATTTTTCAATAGACAGACGAAAATCATGATGGGGTATAAACCATCTTTACCAACTATAAGAGCATTCAACCACCCAGTGAGCTACAACTCCACGCTTGCAGCATCCTGGAGAAGCACCGCTTCTCCCCCACTTGTTTCATTCCCACTTCTGCAGACAAAGGTTAGACAACAAACATGTACCGACAGTGCTTTCACACACATGTCGCATACCAGGGAACAACAACATTAGACAACTTGGCCGGACGGACCGACCTGCTCTGATACCACTAATGTAACACCCTTTCTACCCCAACACATAATAAGGCAAAATAACACGTAAAATCAGAGTGAATAAATAAATCTCATTAAAAATGCCACAAAAGGGCGAACATTTCTCAAAGTCAACAAAACACGTCACTGCTCCGTAACATACGGGTTTTCTCAAAGTACATCAAAACATCATAAAGAGCGGAACTCAAAATATAACTCAACGTTTTTCTCATAAGGGAAAGTTAGCAAAATAACTCAACGGTATACAATCAACTCAAGGAACCCAACCCGATGTTACATATCAGAGCAAGAGCCTTTAGGCTGACCAAAAGACTAAAATACTCAAAAACTTCAAAAGTACTCCTCAACGGCGTTCACAGCTAAACTGCATCATCTGCACGTTACTCACGTGGAGGTAACATTCAAACAGGCAGGGTGAGTAAAACAATTCATAATAATCAATGTATAACAATTAATGCATAAATGGCGTCATATTTATATTCAACACATTGATATTCTCCAAATATGCTCAAAGGCCACAACGTCATAATTTATACAAAAAGACTCATAAATGCAATGCGACACTACTCAATGCATGTGGTACCAATCATCACAGCTCGATGGACACTAGGCCATCAACCCTCCATAGATCCCCATCAATAGGATCGGAGCACGTCACAACACTTCACATCCACACAGTGGGATTGAAGTCATAATAATCGAGGTCCTGAACCGAAGTCCGGATGCAAATGAATGTATGATGCACACGTCACAATAATAATCCTCACAATACAACATAAGGTGCATCATCATTCATCATATTATCACATAATTCATCATTCATCATGTTATCACATAGTTCATCATTCCTCATATTATTTCATCATATTAATTCAATCAATACATCATAGAAATCATCTTAACATCATGTACATCTCACGCAAAACCCACCGTCATAATCACAGCAACCCATCACAGAAATCACAGAATCAAAACATCAAGACATCATTGAACCAGAACATGATTCGTTACTAAAACATATACACAATTGACTTCTCAAACATAATTAGATATAAAAATATTGGGAAAACAATTTCATTATCTATCCTATGTTATAGCTCTGCTCATTAGCTTTCCAACGCTTCGAACGGGGGTCAAAACGGACTTACGGATCCAAAGTTACGTCTAAAACAATTTCGACCGAAAACATGAACAGTCGTGACGGACAGAAAGACGCTATTACGCTCCGGAACTGATTTTTACTCAATTATTCTTACGAATCACTCACTCAACGTACCTAAAATATCACTAAAACATTCCTAATGTTATACGGCAATAACAACACAACTTCTATGGTTTATTAGACTCATCTGACAACATTTGCAACGCCTAAAACACTATTTCCTGCAATTACTCTGAGTACTTTAGAGTTACTCACATATGAGCATTCCTATTCCTACAGGGTCAAACATATCACAACCCAAGGTTTTGGCCACGAAGACAAAAATCATTATTTCTCATCTCTACACTCAAAGGGTCAAGAATACTAACCACTAACCTCCAGGGTCTACCGTCAATTTCCTTACCATTGCTCCGAAAACATCGTAATTTCAAATATCAAATATTTTATCCCGTATGGGTAGATATATACCAATCTAAGGTTTTGGCCACAAAGGCCTAAGGTTTCCTTTCTCATATCAATATTCAGTGATACATACTATTAGCCATACTCTCAGAGTCTTATCATTATTTCCCTTAATTTTCCCAATTCAACCCAAAATACCTTAAATCATAGACTAACCATAAACATATCTAAAGGCATACATAGAAAACTATGAAAGCAATACTCCCCATACCTTAGTCGAATATGCAGCTTTTCACGATCACTTGAGATTTCTGCTTCCGGACTTTCTTCAGAGCTCTGGCCACAATTCCACGGTTAACACAAAATGAATTTCCTTTTCCTTCCAGAATTCTATTTTGTTAAATCTCACAATTTGGGCTTTTCCCATAATATCCTCACTAACTCCTACAATCGCCCAAATTGCCCTTATTTCCCTTATTTCAATTTAATTAATAATAATACTAATAAATTAATGTTATATGCTATTAATTAAATAAATACCCAAAAATGCACATTTTCTTAATAATTCACCAATCACTCAAAAATCACCGAAAACGAATATTATTAATTAAATAATTAATTAAAATACTCCAATTAAATTTGGGATGTTACATGGATAACTAGAGATTAAGTTTTAGGTACCCTAGTATTATATATATGGTATACAATGTAACACTAGAATCTTAATTCATAAGAAAGAAATAAAGGAATTATAGTTGCTCTATAGCCGCAGAGGTAGACACGATTGACCAAACTGAGTTAACAAAGATTGGTCGTGTTCATTATCTTTTACTTTTGTTTATCTTTAATCTTTTGTATTAGTTGTTGTTCTAACTAGTATATTTATGTTGTACAATGTTAAAACTAGTATTTTAATTTATATAAAAAATGCATTTTATTTTTTTTTATATTTTCAAAAAAAAATTATAAATATTATTTTAAAAAAACTATTTTTTTTTAAGTCAAAACAATCAAATTAATAAACTCGAATTCTAGTTTAAGGTTTTTTTTAAAATTTAATTTCAGAGTTTATAAACATATACAACATTTTATACTTTCACTATAAAAAATTAAAAAAAAGTATTTCACACTTTAAATATATTTTATAATTTTTAAGACTATCATACAAGGAACAAAAGATTTACTAGTACACGATGTAATTCCATTCCTACTGCATTGTACTACCATCGATGAATCCAAAAATAAAGGCTAAATAAATAAGCTAACATCATGCACCATTTCCATAACCAAAGAAAAACATCCCTCTCAATCTAGTCACTCAATTCATCTAGTAACACCACTCAGCTCTGCCAGTGTGTATCACGTCCCAAGCTTTGTTGAAGATAGCTTAGTCATTACAAACCATGACCGGAGGAGGCTTCACCGGAGACAATAACAAAGAGTTTGAGGCAAAGATAACTCCTATCATTATCATTTCATGCATGATGGCTGCCACCGGAGGTCTCATGTTTGGTTATGATGTTGGAGTTTCAGGTACTTAACAGCTCTTAATTTGTCATAGTTTAACCGTGACAATTATTTTATGAAATTATTTTTTAGTCACGGCTTAAGCGTGTCAAATTTGGTTATTGACAATGAAAACATGTTTTAAGGTGGTGTGGCATCAATGCACCCGTTTTTGGAGAAATTCTTTCCGAAAGTGTATCGACAAATTGAAGAAGAAGGAACAGAAAGTAACTACTGCAAATACGACAACCAAGGGTTGCAGCTATTCACTTCATCATTGTATCTTGCTGGTTTAATGGTAACCTTCTTCGCATCTTATACGACTCGGATACTAGGGAGAAGGCTCACAATGTTGATTGCTGGTTTCTTCTTCATTGCTGGAGTTGCTTTCAATGCAGCTGCTCAAAACCTTGCCATGCTTATATGTGGTAGGATCTTACTTGGTTGTGGAATTGGTTTTGCAAACCAGGTTAGTACTTAGTACTTCTCCTAGCTTGTTTAATATATTAAACATAGTGGAACCAAAATTAGGCAAGATCTCATTTAATTAAGCAAAAAATTATATAATATGCTTAATTAATGACAAGTTCCATATTTTATTTTATACCTATCTCTATCTTGTTTTAGTCATTATTACTTGGACTTTAGCTTTGATTCCTCAAGTAATACTTTATGTAATACAAACGATGCACGATTCTAGTCTAATTCAATTAATCAACTATTTAACAAATGATAATTTAATGGTGTTGAGGATTGAGAAGGAAACTTCATAGTTTAAGACTAATTGGCTTTTGGAAGTCACTAATAATTTTTGATGGTGACAGGCAGTGCCGGTTTTCCTTTCAGAGATTGCACCTTCTAGAATCCGTGGAGCATTGAATATACTGTTTCAGCTTGATATCACACTTGGAATTCTTTTTGCAAACCTTGTCAATTACTTCACCAACAAGTAACTTCTTTAATTGCTTTGTATCATTTTCTTTCATAATTGTTGATGCTGAATATTTATATCTCGCAACAACAGAATCAAAGGTGAATGGGGTTGGAGGATATCCCTTGGATTAGGAGGTGTCCCAGCATTACTCCTCACTCTAGGAGCTTACTTGGTTGTGGACACTCCAAATAGTCTCATTGAACGTGGTCACCTAGAACAAGGAAAAACCGTTCTGAGAAAGATTCGCGGCACGGACAACATCGATCCTGAGTTCTTCGAGCTGGTAGAGGCGAGTCGTGTTGCTAAACAAGTGAAACATCCCTTCAGAAATATCCTCAAGCGCAATAATAGACCTCAACTTGTCATTTCCATTGCCCTAATGGTATGTTGTACTAATGTTATTTGTCGCAGATTCCTATACATTGTGTATTTTTTATTGATTTTGTTTAGTATGGTGATAACAAACAGGTTTTTCAACAATTTACTGGCATCAATGCGATAATGTTCTATGCTCCGGTTTTGTTTAATACGTTAGGGTTTAAGAATGATGCTGCACTTTATTCTGCTGTGATTACTGGTGCGATTAATGTTGTCTCGACTATAGTCTCGATATATTCGGTTGATAAACTTGGACGTCGAAAGCTGTTATTGGAAGCTGGTGTACAAATGTTCTTGTCACAAATGGTGATAGCAATTGTATTAGGATTCAAGGTGAAGGAGAATTCTGAGGAACTCTCAAAAGGTTATGCAGCTCTTGTGGTAGTTATGGTTTGTGTTTTTGTGTCTGCGTTTGCATGGTCATGGGGACCACTTGGTTGGCTTATTCCAAGTGAGATATTTCCATTGGAGACTCGTTCTGCAGGACAAAGTGTAACAGTTTGTGTCAACTTTCTCTTCACTTCTGTTATTGCGCAAGCTTTTCTCTCAATGCTTTGTTATTTCAAGTATGGTATCTTCTTTTTCTTCTCTGGATGGATCTTGATCATGTCGATTTTTGTGTTGTTTCTTGTCCCTGAGACAAAGAATGTCCCTATTGAAGAGATGACAGAGAGAGTGTGGAAGAAACATTGGTTTTGGAAGAGGTTTGTTGAAGTTGATTGTCTTGAAGATGAGAAAGTAAGTGATGGAAATGGACCTAGCATTATTGATTTGGTTCATTAGTTTTAAATTAGAGGAATTTATGGTAATAAGTTGTTTTTGTCAAATACATGTTTTGGATATTAAGGAAGTATATGGTTAGATTTGGTTATTACAGCTAACCATAAGTTATCATTCTCATTATGTTAAGTAGTAATTTGTGTCTCTAAGAGTGTATTGTCAGTAAAGATATCATGTAATATTGTAATTTGAGAAAGTTATATTACTAAGTTTTATATTTCCTCACTTCTTGTGTTAGGGATTTTTTTTTTATAAACAAGGGATTGTATTAATGTGAGTAAATGGATACTCTACCCTAATACAAAAGCAAATAAGAGAGAGTCACAACAAGGAAATAAGAATACAAGCTAATGGATTCCACCATCAATCTTTCCTATCACACACAATCAATTTCTTAGCTCTAGCACCAAACCATTTCTAAGAAACAGTTTGAAATTCTATTATAGGAGGGACACACGTTTAACATAATGTTTGAAATAATGCGTACAACAATTTAAATAAGATTGACAAAAACTAACTAATGAAAAAAAGAAAGTAATAAAAAAAAAAAAGAGAATTGTTAATACAGTTCTGTATAACAATATTTACATTTGAGACTTTCAACCCAAGAAAGGAAATTCACTCTCAATGGTATAAGTACAGTTAGTCTTAAATGAACAAAATTTGTTCAATGTCTATTTCCTAATACTACATGTGTCTTTCTATTTATGAATCTCCTTAAATATGAGAATCGTTATCACTTTCTCTCAATCACTACCTTAATGATCAATATTTTTAAAAGATTACATATTAAAGATGTTGAATATCAACTCAACTAACAATCCACCTTTATGACTTGAATATTAAGTTTTGCCTTCTTTAGAGGTTTACAACAACCAACAAGTATACAAAGACTCAAAGTACAAAACCCTAGTACACTAGATCTTCAATATATGTGTGTTTTCAAATGTAGGAATGAGTCTCCTTAAATAGAAATTCATCTTCTAGGATTTTCTTCAATGGGCGTTATATTTGAGAACCATCTGATCTGATTTAGATTTGATTTGCTTTAAAAACATCCACAAAAATATTTGATTTGTTTTTATCTTCATTCAATTTAAATCTTCATTTAATTGCTTTTAATCTTATTAAATTGTCTTATAAAATCTTACTAAATAATATATGCTAAAAGATACAACAATAAATCTTCTATTAATCAAACAGAATTTCACTCAAAATAACTCATTAATTCTTTTTCCCATATCGGGAACAGATGTTGCACACATGTGTAACACCCCAACATTTCTCTTCCCTTTTATCATATCTTGGCTTATGTTTCATGTCATTTTGCATTAGCATTTGTGCCTAGCATTGGTTTTAGACAGAGGATCAAGGTATCTTATCCAACACTCAAGAGAGGAGTTTCATCTTCAAAGCACAATCAAGGGTCCATGCTCAACTTTGTGGCAATCTCAAGTCACAAGGTGTTCATCATCATCAAGACATGTCACTCAACCATTTGAATTAAGGATTCAAGCTTTGATCTCCTCCTCATATCTTGTGGATAATTGGACTAGGGTTTTGGTTCAAAGGATATTTTTGGCTAACTTCTTGGGCAAGACATGATTATAAATCTCAACACACACCTTGAGGGTCCTCTACATGGATTATGTGTCATCATAAACCATCACAAGAGCTTCAATTAGTGGAGAAGATGTTAAGTTTTCATCTGGTCAACAAAAAGTCAATTGTGGATCTGAAGAGGTTTAAGGCTTGACTTTTGATCAATTAAAGTCATGAGAGGCCATCTTAAGTCATTACAAGTACTATGTTGAAGCTTAATCAAGAAGAATCAAAGAGGATCATAGAATCAAGAGATTTCTAAATTAGGGTTTTTAAGGTTTCTAAGTGTAAAATCCCCTCTTTTAGCACCTAACTTCCATGACAAGTTTCATCATGATACAAGCTCCATATCATTTTCCATCAAACATGAGATTTTTTTCTTGTTATCCAAGATTTATTTTGAGTACAAAAACTCCTCTATTGGATCTACACATCTCAAGTTATGATTTCTTTAAGTTGGTTTTACAAAGCAGAAAGGATTTACAGGCACCCAAGGGCAACCCATTTCTAAGACAATTTTCATATGGATCCAAGCTTTTCCTCAATTTTCTTCAAACATAAGAGTTTTTATTCTTCATCTAAGCTTTCCAAAAAGTACAAGAACTCATTGTTTCCATGTGTAGAACTCAAGTTATGCTCTTTCCAAGTCAAGGCCATTTTTGATGACCTAGTTTTGGATCATTCACTTCAAAGTCAAAATTCATGAACTCCAAAGTTTCAAGTCAAGTTACTTACAACATGAAAGTTGTGTCTCAAGGTCTTGCCCTCATCATGACCTAAAATTTCATGTAATTTGATGTGTTATGGTGCAAGTTAAATCATGATGAACATGGATACATGGATGTATAACCTAATTGGACTTTCTTGCCTTTCAAGTCACAACATGGAATATTTTTGCTCTCTATTTTAGTACCATCATACCACCATTACATGACATCCAATTTTTGCCCAAAGTGAGAAAACACACATTCTTCTTTCATGTGAAAATTTGAAGTTTAGGCTAAACTTGGGAAATAACAAAACCACCTCATTAGTCCTTTTCTTTTAATCCAAATCATCATTATTCCTTTTCTCACCCTTATTTGCCTTTGATGCTGACTCAATTGGTATGAAAGCCATCCCATAACCTGTGTGCACATGAATTTTAGGTTTTGGGCAAAGTTTTCAAAAAAAACAATTTGCACCTCATGGGCCTTCCAAACAAGTCCTAACCCATCATATTTAAGCAATGCAAACCCTAAAGTGAGAGAAGGATGTCATTTGCTGCAAGAGAAGGTCAGAATAGCTCAAGCTTGCTCCATTTTTCTCTCTCTTTGAATTGATCATTTCATTGGAGATTTCTTCCATCTATTGCTTCCATCTTGCTCAGAAGAAGCTCAGGAGCCCATTGCTGACCTTTGTTGGAAGCTCAAGCAGTGTTTGAAGCATCAATGGAGTAGCTCCGTTTAGGTATTTTTCTACTTTCAAACCTCTTATTTTAGGCATTTGTTTAAGCTCATACTGGTGCATCTGAAGTCTTTCCATGGTGGAGGCAATGTTTGGACGTGATTTGTTTTGATTTGGCTTGTTTTCAGTTTGTGACACAAAATTTGAAGCACTAATTACACCTTGTTTTAGGCACCTTTTTAAAAATCCATGATCATATTTGTGTCCTACGTGAGTTCCTCTTCAAGATGATGTAGTAGGTTTTGATTTTTATTGAGATTTACAGAGATCGCCGGTGAGGCTCACTGAGGAAGACGAGCGGAGCTAGGGATCCGGTGTCTAAGGTGTTAAGTTGAGGTGGTTAGTGATTTGCGAGTTGACTTGCATGTGTGGCACGTTGAAAGGTGAGTTGGCATGCCACCTCCTTTAATGATACGATGCGTTTCATTTAGCTAAGGTTTTTGTTGGTTTTTTTGGTTTGGGCTTTGATTTTTATGTTATTCACACACCCCTGACCTAGGCCCAACGCGCCATGAACTATTTTCCTTTTGTTTCTGATTTGCTTGTGCACCCCCATTGCTTTATTTCTTCATTTTATTTTATTTTTTGTCCTCTTTTCGATTTGATTTTCTTTTTAATTGTTCCAACCATTTTAAAAATTGATAAAAATATGTTTATGTTCAATTAATATCTTGTGTTATTTTTCATAATTTTTATTTTATTTTTCATTTGATTTTACTATTTTTAATTGATTTTATTTGTGAGGTATTTTTCCATATTTACCCCCATTGCTTTGTTTGATGCCTTTTGATCACCTTCTTGAGCCAATTTTTCTCACATGTTTGGACACTTGATTGATGAATATTTAAATGTGGTTTTGATGCTTTGATGATCATTATTTGGATATTTCCCATTTGGTTTTGTTTAGTCATCGATTCATGCTCGATTCATAACAAGTTTGAACTTGTGGTTTTCTTTTGATGGTGTTGTCGTACCCCAAATTTTTCCCTTAGATTCATTGATTCCTTTGCATATCATCTTAGGTTCATCATCCATGCATAGCTAATCGTTTTATTTAGTTTTTGTTTATTTGGTAGGTTTGCTGAAGGAAGTTTGAAAGTCATGAAGCCCTTGTGTGTATGCCCCTCAAGATTCTACTCTTTTACGAGTTATGTTGAATTCGCGTGGATATTAAAGATGGACATGCCCTTATCTTTTGGAACCTGTGGTCCATACAAAGTTAATCTTTTCTAAGATTCCTCAGAAGTCTCTCCAGGGAGATTTAAGTTTATCTGCATTTTGTTCTTGAGAATAATCGTTTGAGATTTAGTTTTAATTATGGTGGTGAGATACATTACAAGTTCATACCCTCATTCCCATAGGATTTCTCCGTGCATGGTTCATGTATCAAGCTTCATCATCATTTAAACCAGGGGTCATACGGGCAAAGCCAAATAGAATTTGTTTCTTATTTATGGAATGGGATTATTATGTAAGTTTTTAAGGGAAATTCGGATTGATAGCATGTGATTAATATATTTCAAAGGGATACAAGCTCATGAAGGTCGAGACACAACCATGTTTACAATGCTCAAGGCATGATCATTGGATTTCTATATTGATTTTAAGTGATGGTTCAAATGATATAATGCCATACCCCATAGTAATGTTACAAATGCGAGCCAATTCAAACCAATTTCAAGATATAAAGTACAAATTTAAAGGATAAAGCCGAGATTATTCAAGATGTCCAAGCGCAAGGAAAATCTAAAAAGAGTCGTTTGTTTACACATGAGTTTTGAGTGTTGATGCTAAGACTCCAATTTAAGTTTGTTTCATAAATATTCAAAAGAAAGGTTTTTTAATGATACAAATTCAGGGTTCAAATTTCATTCAAGTATCCAAGACAAGTGTACTCTTTAATTATGAAAAATCGTGTTTCCTTCTATTGTATGTGCTTAAGACTGTTAGTGATG